CAGGCTGCAAGGCCGCTGGTAGAGGACCCGAGCTTTAAGGAAGGAATAAGGCTGCCCCATAGTGGGGGGCAAGCGGGGGGGAATTTTATATATATATATATATATATATACTCATATTATACAAGTACTCTTTTTAAATATTCCCAAAGCACATTTCTTTTTCTTTTCTTGTTCTCTCAGCCTTATCTTGTTTACTTATTGCCTTATGGGAGAACATTGTACTACATGCACATTGAGAACCACTGTACCAGAGTGAAATTCCTTGTGTGTTCAACACACATGGCCAGTAAAGCTGATTCTGACTCTGAAAGTTCTATTGTATACATTCAGATAATGCCTGTGCTTGGTTTATGAGACTATTATTGAATGATACTGGCCAGGAGCCACTTTAGCACACATGTAACTTCATGCTTCTACTCCATGTAAGGTGAATAATGTTATTTTAGTTTGAGAAAACTAGCTAATGCGAGATAGATGAATGCCACTGTGACTTAACTTCACCTGCAGGGTGCATGATGCTAGCTAGCACGCACTATTTGTAAGAACTAATGCTTCCTTTACACTTACAAAATGTCACTGTATGTTTGAACAAAAAGTTGTACAAACAAACAAGGTGCACAGCTAGCATTTTCCAGTAACAGTGATACTTAGCTCATACATTGAGTGTTGGCTGCTGCTACTACCATGGATGTGTGGTTAACAGCTGTGCTCAATATAGCTAAATCTGACAGCTTGTGTTCTGACAACAGTGTGTTCCGCCGTCCCAGACCCATCCTCCTCTTTGCCTGGACCCACACACCCAACTCAGCCCTTCTAAGGCTAATTGTTACCAAACAGTCACTAGCAAACAGTTCAAGTGCTGTTCTATCCATAGTAGGCTGCAGTGTTTGCCTGCAAATTTGACAAACTTTACAATTTTAGGAAAATGTGCAAGAATTTCAAGTGGCAAAAAAAGAATCTGATTAAGAATTAAATCATCTTAAAAACTTGAGAAATCTGGGTACTCCTTCAATAGGGACCATTATTTTCTAAAACTAAAGCAGCTACTCTGCCTCAGCCCGCCATCTATCAGTCTAAACTACAGCCTAAACTCCAAAAGCTTTGCTGAGTCTAGATCTGTCTCTTACCTTTCTGATTCTGGATCAGCCTTTTGCCCAGCTCCAGAGTAACAAAGGCTGTCCCATTCAGGACGATGTCAGTGATGGCCTTCCAGCCATTTGGGGACAGACGCTCTGATGGACACACAAAGTTTCCCGCTGCATTGTTGATGATCACCTGCACCAATCAGGACACACTGGTAATGTCAGAATTTTAGTTTCTTGTTTATTTGTAGAAACTAACTTCACAGCCTACAGTTTAATTTATCCTGTGACATCATAATGATTAATGATATTATCACACATATGATAATGCTGTGTGTGTGTGTGTGTTTACATCAGGCAGTCCTGTCAGACTCTCCATCTCATCGATACAGTGAGAGACAGCCTGCGGATTTCTAACATCACACTGAACCACATGAACCTGAGGAGAGCACACCAGGACACGTCAGTTTAGACTAATCCAGATGAGGACAGACTGATTCAGACCAGTTCAGGTTTCCCACCTTATTTCCAGTCTGACTGCTGATCTCCTCAGCAGTCTGCTGCAGAACGTTCAACTTCCTGAATAACAAACACAAATGTGATATTAGACCAAGGGGAGGGGGGGGTTAACCTTTTTTGTTTCAACAATGAGAAAGTAATCAGTCATGTGACCTCTGACCTGCTGGCAATAACACACTGAGCTCCCAGCTGGGAGAGGGTGGTGGTCATGGCTCGACCCAGTCCCGTACCCCCTCCTGTGATGAAGGCCACTCTGTTGTTGAAGGTTCCTGGCGGCAGCATGACACCTTCAACTGCAGGGAAGAACTTCGAGTGAGGAGGAGGAGGAGATCCAAACCGAAGAACCACCGAACTGTGGAACCATGACTGAACAACAGACAGAGAGCATGAGGCTTAGCAAACACATTCATCAGGACCTTGTTACTATACATTATTTTAACTTAAGTATTTTTATCCCTTTAGGCTTCAATAGGGTTTGGGATTATGATGTCACACTGCAGTGCGTTCTGTGAAATTTGTCATGTTGGAGGCTACATGTTTTGTTTTGCTGTAGTCAGCCTTGCTGACACAAAGAGGTGCTGTACACACATATGCACACAACACATCCCATAGATATTATGTATATATAATCCACTGGTAGTACATGCCTTATTGAATAAAGCAACCAAAAGACAAAATACCCCTGGTAAACATTATCATATAGACATTAAAGCCATATAATTACGCTAAATGTGTTGCTATTAAATAAAACAATTTGGCAAATGTGTCAAAAAATACTTTGTGAATTTCATAGCTAAGTCTAATAACCTGAAAAAAGCACCTCATGAATCCTGTATTTCTCATTAAAATATACAAAGGTCAAAGTATGATGATTGTGTAAATCCCTGATTATCCACTTTCTTTAACAAATAGAGAGTCGCACAGATTAGAAAATGGTGCTAAAAGTTATTATTGTATTCTGTTGAATAAACGGATGGAAAGATAAACAGCGCTTCCGTTGTGTTGCTGTAGGCATTACAACCCTACTGAAAAGAATGGTGTGTGATTGTGATAAGATGTCATTGTGTATGCTTTTTCCTACAGTCTAGCGCGTGAAACTATAGATTTTTTTTTTTTTTTTACAAAATACTGATTAAATAAATGGGTTTATCTGATTTCGTTGGTTTGTAACAAGATACACAACAAATAGTTTTTAAATGGTGGACCGGAGATACCTGTGCGTAATGTAAACAGGAAGTACAACGCATGTGTAGGTCTGCGCATGCGCATGCCGGTACTTTCAAAGCATGGACTAACTTCTCACTTGTGTGTACAGATAAAACCACCGAAAAAACGCTAGTACGTAGCCTAGCCTAACGGTATTGCTGTATGATTGGATCGTGGGGTGGACCGATGTTTGCCTACCTATGTTGTACCTGGGGGACCGCTGAGAAATCAGCTGATCTCCGCTGTTTCGTCTTGCTGGTTGTAGTGTGTTGCTAACGGTTGGAAGACGCTGTGATCGAAGTTGTACTTGTGAAATTTCATTACCTTTGAAATGTTTGTGCGCGCACCCCAAGTGTATAGTGGTCGAGTGAAAAAAGTCCGGTGGGTCGCTGGAACAGGTCGCGGGGCATGATGACATGAGACGGACAGAGAGAGATCTCGGTACACACACCGCGGCGAGCGTCCGGGAGTCAGAGCCCATGTGGGCTTAGAGACGCCGCAGCCCGGAGAGCGTAGCTGCTAACACCGTTGGGTATGTTTCTGGAGATACGGTAAGTCTTTTTTGTTAAAAATTGTATGTTTGATAACAAAGCAGCTGTTTAGACACAATGTTGTTTGTGAAGAGAGAACTGTGGTAGGAATTAGAGTGAAAGAGAAACATTATTCCCTAAATACTTCTGAATTATTCCTAACAGGCAGAACGTCCTTAAACTATGATGGCGTGAAACAGTTGCGGATCCCGAAATAAGCTAATTTTGTGCAATATTAATGTAATTATTGAAATGAAAAAATGTATCACTCTCTAATATTTATTCTAAATTTATTTCAAGAATCGAGCAAAAAGCCTGTGTAGTGAGAAACAACCGCCTTTTCCAATGTCTAGAATAAATATTTAATGTGTCAGACTAATAATTACAGAAAAGAGAGTTACTTCTGTTACATTTAGGTGAAATATTTAATGTCAGACTAATAATTAAAGAAAAGTGAAATAATGTATCAGGCTAATATTTAATTATTACTCAGATACATTAATTCTCCTGATAATAGGGAAAGGTGGCTGTTTCACAACAACATAGTTATGTACGATGCATGTATTAATTTTAGGTTAAAAATAAACAATAGAGAGTTAATTCAGTTACAAATGTATTGTATTGCTTTTGCAACCAGAGTACAGACACAGTGACTGATTGTTGGATAGTGATTTATTATGTTGTTTTATAACTCATCTCTAACGAAACGTGTTACTTTAATAATTTCAAGATGTTTAATAACTTTAGATTTCTGTCTCACCCTGAGTGCGCAAGTCTTCACCGCTTGCAAAACTCCACCATTTATCCTAAACATCGCAGCTGCTGCCATGTTGATCGGGAGGTAACGACCTTCGACTCGGATCGTACCAACACGTGGAAGAGGAAGGGGGTTAAACTTCTTTTCCAAGCCTTGTTTTTAATAGAAATACAATTCAATATAAACAGTTGCATCAAATGCTTAACAGGATGTATCAAATAAACAAAAGTAGGCATATTCCATGAAAGTAGGTTTAAGTAAACAAAGCTGAACAAGAAAAGCAGACAGGGCAAAGTGAAAACAAAATACGAGAAGTTCTACTGATATAAAATAAAAAAAATTTGAAGAGGTCAGTGGTTTTGGTAGTTTATTTTATTTTTTGTTAGAATGTTTTAAGTGCGACAGTGTTAGGAAGTAATTGCTCAGATTGTTTAAAAGTTCTGTCAAGGCTGCCCTAGAAGCCCAAGTTTATTTATTTTAGTTGTTGAACTGCTCTTTATACATTTTAAAACAGACATTCAGCCATTTCATGTAATGCGTTCCCCCGTACTTCCCCAGTAACTTTATTTATCTTTTAAAAAGCAAATCAAATTCCAGAAGTTATAGATTATCTTTTACTTTTCTCAGAGGCATCTGGTATGAACTCTTATCTATTCACAGACATACATTTTCACTTTTATATAATATTTCTTTAAAGAAGAAGCCATCAAACATACTGTAGGTATTACTGTAACCAAAGATCCATTTTTAAGGCAGGTGGTAAAAATTGTTTTAAAGAATGCCAGTTTATATTTAACAGCTGGTTACAAAGAGAGATCTCAATCTTTGGCAAGGTACTGCTCTCCAAAACTGAAGGAACTTCAAGACTCGTTTATCCAGCCTCTTGTCTCTCAGTTCCTCATCATCATTTTGTCAGAGCCATTACTGTTTCTTATAAAAAACAAACAAGCACCACTTTATAAGGAATAAAGATATAGTGAAACCTGTTGCTGATGGTCTAAATGTTATAGATTTTAATTTTATAAATGGAACTTTAAAAATAAAACAGTTAAAATAATTCATTATGAAAACTGAAAATCTATGGTTACAAATCTTCTCTGCAATCTTCAGTAAATTAGGTGGTATTAAGTTCTTATTAAAATGAGACTGTGATATTAATAACTTACCTATAAAATTGTCTATTTCACCAACATCTCACTATATTGGAAACTTGTTTATAAGCACAACTTCAGCCCACATAATGTGCCTATTTGGAACAAGAGATGTATTCTTATGAAATGCAAATCTATCTTTATCAAAACCTGGATGTCAAATGGTATTTGGGCTATCTGACATTTAGTAAATAGACAGGGAAGTGCTTTAAAATTTGTTCATAAATCTAGGCCCATTTGTACCAGAAAGAAATGTATTGGTACAGTTAATGCTATTCCATCTCCCTTTCTTCATTTGATAAAAGGATTAGTATTATTTTATTTCCTGGTACCTGTATTACAAAATATTATCTGTAATTACAAACTCATTGAGAAAAAACAAAACATTAATAATAAAGTTATTAGAGATGCTCTTACCATGTAACGCTTCTCTGGCCCCATTAGAAAAAAGTACCTCTTACATATGCTCCAAAACTGATATTGTTAAAATTAGAAGCAAATATTTAACATTTCCCATTCCCCCTAAAGCCAAAGTGCACTTCAGAGTAATTACCAATATATATCCATGTCATCGGTGTGTGAATGGGTGAATGGTGTAGCATCTCTGTAAAGCGCTTTGGCCAGTGTAACACACTGTGAGAAAGCGCTATATAAAATACAGTCCATTTACCATTTACAGTCCATGTGACAAATTCTTCTGCTAATGTAATATTAACTGTAATGTGTGCACTTTTTGCTATGGAAGATAGTGAACCATTTCAGTGCCTTTTCTACAGCTGCATTTTCTGTTCAGCTTTTTGGAATGACTAGTATTTATGGTTGTGCTCAAAAAAAAAAATTACAACTTTCCAGTCTAGTAACATTGCCACTGGAATTTTTATGCAAGATCAAAAAATGTCAATTTTTTTTTGTTAATAATGTGTTTTTGCTGGCAAAATATATAGGCTGCACAAGTGATTTTTTAAAGTTTTCTGTTTTTGAATCCTAAAACTAAAAATGAAAAATATTTGTTAAAAAAATCCTTGAACCATAAAAGCTGCTTAACTCCCTAATAGTAGACTTTATGTAACCCTTCACTTGTTACAAAAATGTTTTTAAAATGCTATAAAGTGTGATTTATAGCATTCATTATTTTATGTAGGCTATTTTATTATTAAAACTGACAACACGTATGAACAGGGCTAATAATAATAATATTATTATTATTAAGTACCTACAAAAATAAAAAAAAAATCAGAAGTGATAATAGAGAGAAATATGACACAAACACTGGGAGAGCTACAAATCGTCATTAAACCTGTAATTCCTCAGATTATATTTACTAGATTTTTTTGTTACACTCTTGACATTGCAAAAGTACAGGGCACCCACCCATCCCCGGAGCCGCAGTGGTTCAGTCCAATCACGTGACACTGTAACGTGTAATATGCTTGATTAGGGAGAGAGAGCGCGTCTGCTTCATTTTTAAAATTTCTGTCCGTACGTCAGTCGCTGAACGGTTAATCAGTTTTCTACTGATGATTTATCTAACCCTCCTGTGAGTGTTTAAATCACTCTGGGATTTGTATTTTGAACTGCTTCCTGTTAGCTTGGACAGTTACGGTGCCGTTCTAGTGTAGTCTGGCAGTCGGAATATAGAGCTGATAAACCAGGCGCGGATCAATTGGCAGCAGGTATTGATGAGGGGTTATTGCTGATAGATGGGGGACCGAGTCTCTGAACCGGAACTGGTTCTGGTCTTCAGTGGAAAACGGAAGTCCGGAAAGGACTATGTGACGGACCTGCTCCTGGACCGGTAAATAATCAAAATACTCGCCGTTTGTGTCACTGTGTTTAGTACAAATTAACAAAATGTTTAATACTGATCCACTGGTGTTCATTGCCAATGTAGCAGAGGTAACTAGTTGGGCTTCGTGAACAGGTACTGGGTCCGTCAACACCCTCCCGCAATGATTGTCCACTGACCAACTACAAAACGAATTAGGGCTACTTATGAAATAGAGACTGGGCTAAATTTCAAGTACTGAGCTTTGTTGTTTCCTCGTAATATTTGTCTGTACCCCCTGTTGGCAGATGGAGCTGGTTCTCTAGTCGCTGCCATTAAACCACTGCAGAAGAAGGTGAAGTGATTCAAGTTCACACGGTGGAAAACACCACCTGACGTTTCTCTTAGCTTCATGTGTTAATGTAACTTCACACCACCTGTCTGTGGCTCCACGTTGGGTCATGTGATTCATGTGCATCAGCTTTGATACAGTCTCTCCCAGTCCCAAGGTCCGCACTCACGGACTTTGAGGTGCGTTCCCGCTGAGTTAGTGAGGGATCAGGTGCACGAGGGCTCTCTTGCCTTCATTTTGAACCTTTTATGCTCACTCTCCGTAAATCGGCGCTTCTGCAGGCTTAATCTGAGGGAGTTTGTGATTGTGCGTTGGGATTGTCCCGCTGTACCCAGGGAGGCTGGAATCGTAAAATAGGCTAATCTTACTCCTATACTTTCGGCTGCTCCCGCTAGGGGTCGCCACAGCGAATAATCACTTGCCACCCAACTGATGATTCGCCACATGCTGAACTTGGCATGTTTTACGCCAGATGCCCTTCGGGGTGAAGTCAAATTTAGAGTCGTAGAGATGTAAAACTGACTCTAGGAACAAGTTTTGATACAGTGCTGCTGTCAGTTTTATGTGTTTGCAGACTCACTCTGACACTGATGGTATCATACACTGCTGCTGTGGCTGAGTTATAAACTCCTGTTCCGTCATCTACCTGCACATAGTTCATGCTGAGCGGTTTGTTGCTGCAGCCTGACAACATACCGTATGTCACTGTGCTTCCGCTGAATTATGTGGCTTCTTCTGCTGCATCCTTACAGCTATGAATGAATTAAAATCACACTTTGACATAAACGCATTCAGTGTTAATGCTGAGACTGTTACCTGTATCAGACATGACACACTATTACTGCTTATCTTTCTAATGTTACCATTAGTACATTAAGTACATGTTTTACCTGTCAGTGACAACTGTCACCCATCTGTGAAACACCTGTTGACACCTGTGATGTTTTTTAATGTGGCAGATATCTGTGATACAACAGCTCACCTTTTTCTTCTTCTGTAGTTTAGGGTCTGATGTTTGTTGCGTCCTGCGTCTATCCGGACCGCTCAAACAGCAGTATGCTCAGGTGAGACCTACACCTGCTGATACACACAAACATGTCACCATGGTTACATCACTGTGATCATGTTATTGTTTCTACCAATGAGTCATACTGCTCCTGCTGGTTGTCAGGAACATGGTCTGGACCTGGCCCAGCTGCTGGGCTCTGGTCTGTATAAGGAGCAGTATCGGTCTGATATGATTCACTGGGGCGAAACTCGACGAAGTCAGGACCCTGGATTCTTTTGTCGCCTAGCAACCAGAGGAGCACAGCAACCAGTTTGGGTATATCTTCTTTCTCTTGTTAGTTTTTTTCTTATTCACTTTTTCTTCTGGACTGCTTCTTTTTCCTGCAGCTGCTCCCAGCTTTTGATGTACTTTCACATTTGATCCAAAAGGTTTTGGTGGAAACTAAAACCTTGATGTATGCCCTACTAACAAACCTACCAACTAAGTAGTAACATTATAAAAAGCAGAGGTGAAACTGGAGCATCTGGGTTCAGGCCCAAAAATAAGAAAATCTCATTCAATTTACTGAGATTTCTAAATTGGGTAATAAAGGAAAATCAGGCTGGGCACCAAGTCCAAGTAAACATTATGTTATGTAACTCGGTCACCAAATAGCATCAGTACAAAGTCGGGTGTTTTTTCACCGTTTGAACTAAACCCTGCTTTAGTATGGTGGCTGCAGAGACACAAGGTGTAGCATCAGTACAAAGTCGGGTGTTTTTCCACCGTTTGAACTAAACCCTGCTCTAGTATGGTGGCTGCAGAGACGCAAGGTTAATGCGTTTACATCTGAAATCACTCCAGTCATTGGTCAACAAGTCAGCTGAGTTCTTCTGTGATTGGTCAGGTGGTGAGTGATGCACGCAGACTATCAGACTTGCAGTGGTTCTGGTCAGAGTTTCCTCGACAGACTCGATGTGTCAGAGTTCAAAGTTCAGAACAAACACGCAAACAGAGAGGGTGGAGCTTCACTACAGGTAAGATCTACCCATCTTTCTGTTTAACTCTCAGGTGTGGATGATGCGAAGTCAGAGTTTTAATCTACCTGTATGTCTCTATCTCTCTATTGCTTAGGTGTGGATGATGCAGAGTCAGAGTGTGGGTTGGACAGTGGGGTTGAATTTGATTGGATCATCACTAATGAGGCTGACGCCCCCTCATTAGACAAACAGCTGCAGCCAATCCTGAAGCTGGCCATGGAAGCAGCGTCATCATCATCTACCAGTCGCAGCTCCTAATCACTAATTAATATTATTGATGAATATGGATGTTCAGTATCAGCAGAAGGTCTGTGGTGCTCATTTTCTATCACATGAAGTTTATCTTTGTCAGATCTGTAAAACTCAGCTGAGCCTTGATGAGCTGATCAGTAACCACCGCGGGGATCTTCATAGGCCAGCTGCTTGTAGGTTAGACCTGGTCAAGTAAAACAGTGAGTCCCTGTACAGGAACATTCCCGGACATGCATTAATCTCAGGCCCTGTATTTTTTCTTCAAATTCTCTGGTGAGGAAAAAATATATTCACAAAATTGGGCGCAGTCGAAAGATACCGCTTTGCAATGGCACTGTGGATGTCTTTTAAAAAAAAAATTTTTTTTTTTAAAGCTTTATTGAAAATGCACATAAACAAGGCAATATAACATTTGGCGAAAATGGTGGGGGCACTGGTGGATGTCAGGCAAGCTCACATGAACATGCAACGACCTGGAGATTATCACCATTCAAGGAAATCCTTAATCATTTAATACTTAATTTTGTTAGAAAAAAAGACTTGAGTTTGCGAGATGTGTATAAGCTGAGTTGCTTCTGCAATGAAATACAACATACAGTATGAACACCTAATTTTTGAGCTTTAGGTTATGTCTAAGATGAGAATTCACTGTTGTACCATTGTAGATAAGTCAAAACAAGGAAAAACATGTCATGGGCTGTTTAACAGGTGTGTTCAATAAAGACATGAAAGATCAGGACTGTTTGCGTTTTATCATCTGTGCGACCATGGTTCAGTAGAGTGGTCATTTCCCAAACGGAAGATGAGCGGGTCGAATCACAGTGCCTGCAGTCGAAGTGTCCTTGGACATGACACTGAACCCCAAGGTCCCCCCCAATGGTTAGAGCCATCAGTATGAGTTGGCGTCAGATGAAAACCAGTTAACTGCAAACGGTGCCATTACTCTTTCTTCCAACTGTATACTGAGCACAAACTGTTACAAAAACTGACCAAAAGTAAATATTGACATTAAAATCCACTTAAACCAGGGTGAACGTTCACATCTTTAAGTGAATAAAAACCACAACAAGTCTCAGACCAGATCTATATACCAGTGACGGTGCTTTTATTTTATAAAATTCAGTTTCACTTTGTCATGATTTATTACAATGAGCTGTGACATCTGCACAGTGATGACACCATCACTGGCTTCCAGTAAAAACATTTAAATTTTATTTGTTCATGTTATCAGGTCAAAGGTCAGGTGACCTCTGATTGGCCCCTGGTTCCATACATAGTGGAATGCCTAGCTTTGATTGGCTACCTTAAAACACACCCCCAGGAACAAAACTAGTAAATCATTGGCTAACAGGAAGTTGGCTCTAATCATTCAATCAATAGTTGTTGTAGGAGAGAAAACTAATCAGTAACGACAAACCGTTCAAACAAATGATTAGTTGTTAGTCAATTAGCTTTTAACAAAGCAATGGCTGTAAATTGCTGTTAAACTCCCTTTAGACAAATGTCTGGCAGCTCCTCATCTGGCTTCCCTTGCATAATACTGAGGAGGGTGGGATGGCACCGTCAGTGGGTGAGGAGGAGGGAAGAGTGGTGAGAAGGAAGGCCAACAGGATAAAATTAAAGAAACACTTCAAATGTCATTTGAAGGTTCAAAGAAGAAATGTGAGAGCAGGATTTGTTGAGGAAGACTGAGGGGAGGCTACACCATCCTGACACCTCCCTCACATCCACCAGGAGAGGAGGTGCAGTGAAGAAGAGGAGTAATGTTTAGTTCTTGCTGACACCCACAGAGCAGCCAGCAGAGGGAAAGGGGGGAGAACTTTAACCCTGACCCCCTCATAGCGGTGGTGGAAGATGGAATGGCAACAGTGGAATGAGACGAAGTCATTCAGCAGCAGGAGGCGCAGTAAAGAGGAGGAAGTACAAGAAAAGGATTTTTTTTGGCCACAGAGTATGAGCCTGACCTTCTCGCAGGCAGGGGTGGAGGGGAGGGGAGGTGGGGCAGTAACAGTGGAAGGAGGAGGCAGTTCAAGGAGGAGAGATAGGAATGTTTTGACCACAGAGTTCCCTGACATTCACTTGTCAGGCAACTGAGGGAGGTGAGAGGGGGCAGAGGGCAGGAGAAATGAAGGAAGATGTTCAGCAGAAGTTGAGCTCCTCCATGGTCTGATTCAGAGTCGCCTGAAGCTCCGTGTTGGCGTTTCTGGCTGAAGTCAGAGCATCTGGAAACGGAAACAGACAAATGGTGAACATCCAGCTGTCAAATCGCTGTCTCAAGTCCAAGAGTTGTGCTTGAGTTAGAAGTTGAGTTGCTGAACATTAAGATAGTGCTGCACACGATAATGTAACAGTTCGCATATTAATTAACACTGTGCACATTAAGGTAATGTATATGTTAATTCTGCCTATTTTACTGCATAAAACCTTTTTGGCACAAAAACAGTCAGTCTCACCTTCCAGGTCATCAATGGTTTTCTCCAGTTTGGCCACTGAACGCTCTGCAAACTCTGCTCTGGTCTCCGCCTGAAACACAGGAAGTCAAACAGTTGATAAAACCGGATGTAGCCATCTTAAATTGCTGCCTGCTCTGTCACGACGCCTTGGAAATGCCCAGTCTATCCACCAGTGGAGCAGTGACTACTTTTAGCTTTCTGCATGAACTGAGGCAAACAGCTCCAGGTTGACTGGCTTCAGTCTTAAACAGCAGTAATATCACTTCACTATGATTTCACATTCACACTTTATAGGCCCCTGGGACTAATGGGCAAAACACAACGACAGCTGAGTTAGAGTTCCCAACACTACTCTGCATGTAAATACGGTACTTTATGGAGTCACACACTGCTTAATTTTGTTAAAAGTTTTTGTGAACCGAGCGCCATCTAATGGTGACACCCTGCAAATTAATGAATAGCACTCTAATGGGTTATTGGTGGTTAAAAATATTTCAGAATGTCTTAAGAATATTTGATCAGTACTTGTGTAACATTATTTGTTTCTCACCTCCTTGAGTTTGCTGCTCAGGCTCCTGATCTCCTCTTCATACCTGTCCTCTTTCAGAGAATACTGAGACATAGAAACAACAACCAGTCAGAGATCCAGGTGTACTGGCAGACAGTCGGGTCTGAGGACACACCTCAGTGTCACTGTCCACCATCACATATTTAAGTGTTCTACTACTGAGGACACTGGCAGTTGAGTCGATGTGGAGTCCTTCACAGGGTCATCTACCCACAGCTAAATTAAATCACAGATAATGAGCTAAAGGCACGCAGGTAGCAGGTGAAATAAACATGGGAATGGATTAAAAGAAAATTAAAATAAAAGTTTTCAGGACACTTTCACCATGAGTCCAGAACTGAGGCTGCAACACTGACTCATTTTGGAGTTGTGGACAGATGACTGATCAAATCAGTTATCTTTGTGTCATTCTGCATGAACAAGAAGGAACTGATTGAGATGGGACATAAAAACTAAACATAACCTCTGACCAGGACTGCAAACATATGGAACCTGCATGAACAACTATGTAGCTTGGGTTTTACTGATGTTACAGGTCACATTTCAGGCATGGTAAACTTTGCGGGTGCCCGTTTGAAGAATGGGCAGTGTAGGACCGATTCAGTTAAGGCAGCATTCAGACCGTCTTTAGTCCCTATTCATTGAAAGCAGTCAGCTTTCGTCCTGCGCTGGCCAACTGCCTGTTCCTCTGCCAGTGTGTTAATTCAGGTCTGTTTTTAGTCTAAATTTGCACAGCTGAAAATCTTCTCCACCTGTCTGCAGTGATGTACAGGTGCACTCCAGGATCTCTGTTGGGTGTGGGTTCAGCGCAACACTTGCGACTACGCCAAGCAGTGATGCTGGCAGTGAAACGCTGATGTTCAGACTGCTGTGAAATTCAAGTTTAACTCATTTCAGAGATTGTTAATGACGCTCCACCTCCTCCTACCTTCTCAGTCTGGGCCTCCAGAGACTTTGAGCTAGTGAAGACAGTTTTCAGCTCCTCCTCCAACACTCGACACTTACTGCAGGTCAAAGGTCACATTAAACAGAGGGGATATGTCAGATGTGTTATTCACTGTTGGACTGTGTGGCGCTGTTGTGTACAGCAGGTTAATGTCATGCAGAGAGCAGCAGGAGGAGCTGAAGGTAAAGGTCAGAGGTCAGTGGAAGTCAGCTGGAGGTTAGGAAGAGGAGCTGCCCTGGTTTGTTTGACAGCAGCTTGAACATTAGTTGACCATCAGTACCTTGTCCTCAGATGCCTGCAGGCTCTTCAGTGATTGGTCGAAACTCCTCAACTGCTCCTCCAACCTCTGAACCTTACTGTTAGACAGGTGGAGAGACAGAGAGCAGGATGGAGGAAGCAGGACATGCAGCAGACACGTTTCCATGAAAACAGACAGGAAGAGAAAAACAGATGCAGAAAAATTAAAGCGCTGTTAGTGAGCAGTGTGACATTATACTGAAGTCATCAGTCTGATTACCAATCAGTGTGTTTACCTTCAAAAGGTTACTCAGACAACATGTTTACCTGCACTGTAGTAACCTGAAGCCTGCTCTTCAAATGTGGTTCAACATATTGTTGTCAAAATGAAATAATCTTGTTAATTCTGGTTTGTTTCTAATTCTCAGTGAATTTATCTTTAAATAAAAACTACATGATTAGACAGTTAAACCATGAGCAGCATTAAAATGATTGGCAGATCATGTGATTGCAGGTCCCAGCATGCACCAGGTCAACAGATTCATGGACATCCATCTCGTATTATGCACGTTCCTGCATTTTTGTGCCGATCACGAAGAACTGGTCCCAGGTGGGTAATCGGACTAATCCCCGAGCCCTGACCTGATCTCAGAAGAACATTTGATTTTACCTGGAGTTAGCCTCACCTAACCCAACCCTATGAACTAGAATGATGGCATTTGTCAGCACTTGCCCAGATGTTACTGTGGAAACTGCAAGCTGACAACGCTTTGCTATCTTCTTGTAGCCTTCTCCTGCATTGTGGGCATCAATAACTTTCATTTTCAGGGTCTTACACAGCTGCTTAGAGGAACCCATGGTTGCTGGGTGTCCACAAGTGTGTGCACAAGGTTTGAAGAGTCAAGGTATTTGTACAGCTTTGAAATTGGCATTTACCAATGACAGCTGTTGCTGTGCATCAGATCTACCGAGCTGATTAAGGTCTGAAACCTTGTGAGAGACTTTGAGACTCTGGAACTCTTAGGGTGCCCAAACTTTTGCACCATGCCATAATAATGTTTTTATTTTTTATTTTTGTTCAATTTATGGCATAAGAAGTAACTATGCATCACTGTTTGCAGAAAATATTGTGCATTTTTTCCATTTCCAAGAGAAACTGTGTTAACATCTGTTCAAATAAAAAATCACCAAAATCTGTTATTTATCAAGGGGTGCCTAAACTTTTGCATAAGACTGTAATCACATTTGTGTGACCCAGATACACAGTAGAAAATAAATGCATCAATGAAAAATGATGAGTTCAGGTTTTTACACAAACATTTGATAACCAACATCTCTGCCTACAGCAACAATATTTAACATGTTTAAGTAACAAATATAAAAATTAAAACACTTGGTATTTACTGGAAATGGGAGGATGATACCAAAGCTCTGAAGTTCGTTTCACTCCTGTAAGCAGCTGTTAGACATGCGCAGGGCGTCCAATACATTCGGTGTCCACTTCATTAAGTACATCCAAGACAATGCAGCCATGAAGTCGACAGTTCTGTTCATTCACTTCTGTTTTATCGCCGAATTCAGAGTTAATGATGGTGTTGTACTGGACTACATTATATTCAGAGGTAGGGGTGGGCAATATGGCAAAAAGATCATATCAATATTTTTTTCACAGAATCACGGTCATAATTTTATCACGATTGCTTTTAATTTTGTTTTAATACCATTTTGCAAGTTACTAAAGAGTACAACCAAACTAATCTACTCATAAAAATATAGCGCTAAAAGAAAAAGAACATGAAGTTTAGTCCACGTCGGTCAAGGAAAATCCAAACCCCAATTATATCATAGTATAGATGACTTACATATCCACTGTGCACCATGCACACTTAAATTATCAGTAGAACACCCACCCACAGGAGCAGTCCGTGTACTAAATGTTGTGCATTTGTATTGTTGTTTATTTGTTAATATTATACTGTACAACAAAACTGAGTAAACCCCTGTGCAATTTTAGTAATGTTCGATTTTAAATGTTCAAACTCGTGCCAACAACAGTAAAATTATAAAGTATTTGATTTTATTACAAATTGAAAACAAATGACAGAGCACACTGGAAACACAGCTCAAAGCTCAGCCTCAGTGCAACGACAGTGAGCACGCCTGTGGTTACTGCGACGAGGGTCCTGACCTGAATCCAACAAACTATGGAGGATTTTAAAGCAGATCAACAAAACCCTCATGTGTGAAGAACGACAGAGCATCTCTCTAGTGTGTAATCCAAATAAAGACATACATAGAAAACATTATCAACACTAATGCAGGCCTCTGTGCCGGGTTTTGTTGTGTAATGTACGTGTACTGTGCGTTCTGACCTCCTCATATTTACGATCAGCCTCCTCAGCGATATGTTTGGCCTCTCTGAGGTGAATCTCTAGTTGCTCCATCTTCTCCTCGTCCTTCAGAGCTCTGTTCTCGATCACCTTCATACCTCTGATGGGGGGGGGCACAAAGGACTTTAAGTACTCGGGTATAAACAGCAGTCACCTGCTGTTTTCTGTTCAGTCTCAATAAATAACATTTTAAATAATTTAACATTTCAAAGATGATAAAGACATCTCAGCCTCATCATCAGGTCTGTCTTCCATCTCCACTGAGAGGACATGAGACATGATGAAGACAAATCAAAGAGAGGAAACGGGAGGCTGAAGCTCATGACGGTGCCTGGCCTTGTTTCACAAAGCAATCCACAACCCACAGGTGTGTATCAGCTGTGTTGTATTTCAGGTTAAAACCTCTGACCTCTCACTCTCATCAGCAGTCTTCTCCACCTCATCGAGTTTATGAAGGGCGGTGGCCAGTCTCTCCTGAGCTCGGTCCAGATTCTCCTCAGTCAGCTGCAGACGACGTGACAGAGACGCGACTTCTGCCTCCGCCTGCAAGACACACATCAAGGGGTACACCTGTATCAGGTAACAATCAGAAACTGAAACCAAAGCACTGATTTCTGATGAGCTAACAGCTGCTCACCAACAAAGTGCCGCTCAGCATGTCAGCAGGTGTGAATATGAAGAGGTCTGTTATCAGATGAAGCCTCTGAAAACCTGCTGTTGTCTGAGCACCATGTTCAAACTGCTGACCAATAATTGTTTAATATCAGTAATCCAGCTCCAGAGACTGTAACTGTAGTACATGTTAAAGCTGTGTGTTTGTGTTATCACCAGAAGTGGGAGTAAGGCACACATTTGCAAGTCACGAGCAAGTATCAAGTTACAGTGGTGCCCATCAACCAAGTCACTTAAAATTCCACATTTAAGACAGTGATCACAAAAAAAATGTTTTAATTCACAAACCGGTTGAGTAAACCAATGCACTCTGCACAGATGAAATAGCGAGGGGAAATAGTTCTGCATTCATCGATCGCATAGAAACCGAGTTGCTTCTGCATAGAAATACTAGAACATATGTACACCTCATTTTTTGAGCTTTAGGTCACATCTAAGATGAGAATTCACCATTGTAGACACATCAGAAAACAAGGAAAAGCATGACATGGGCTCCTTAAGCAACAGATGGAAAAACAAACTGGAGTTGGGGTTTCAGTTCAGACAAGTCCTGTTCAATTCATTGGCACATTTTTAGTTATAAAGCCATTGTAAATAAACTTCCTCCAGGCCTTGGCACACTTGTTTTACAAAGCTCATTCTCCACCTTTTACCTTAGCTCACAGACACCTACTTGCTGTGTCCCTGGTGTTTGAACAGAGACAAGAAACAAAGTCCAGCGACTTGAGTAGTTTGCAAAGGAAAACCAAATTTAGTATTACTGCTTTGGGATTCCTTTTCTTCTTGGTTCTGTTCTTAGTTGTGTGGTAGTTTGTTGATGACTTTATACATTGCTGAATATTTCTAGTATGATTTTATCTGTGACTCCTAATGCCACCGTCTGAAGTTCTACACCTCAGTGGAATTTTCTCTGGTAAAAAAAAGTTAATTAAATAAACTGAAAAAAAGAGGCGCACTGACCCTCCTCCACCTGTGTGCTATAGGCCAATGTTCACACTGCAGGTCTTAATGCTCAGATCGGATTTTTTGCTGAAATCCGATTTTTTTT